CCTCTCCCATCTCTGAAAATTTGCTGCCAATTCCATCGTGTACGACCCAATCCCCTCTTCCAGAGCGCGAAATACGACCCTTCTATCGAGAAATCCTTCAGGTAGGCTCACTCTGATGTATAGAACTCGGATTCATGGCGTACTCGGGCCGGCTGTGAGAGGATATCCTACCTCTCATAGCCAGCCGCTCAGTGCCGAATGGTAAACCAGTGCCCTTCCGCGTCCGTCCACCTCTGCCAACTTGTTTACCTTACTACGGTAGCAGTGAGAAATCGTGAACACGGTGTTCGCTTTGGGGCTGGATATGAACGGCTTTCGCTCTCTTCGTCTCTGTTTTCAGTTTACATTTTCCCTTAGTGGTTCCTCTTTCCTCTTACAAAAACAAAGTTTGTCGTGGTTGTCCCCATTTCTCTCCTCTGCCGGATTTGGCACGTGTTTGCTTTTCCTAATTGTTTTCAAGTTCATCGAGCAACCACTACGGACTGGAAGGTTGTCGGAGAGTGGAAATCATTTTACTCTCTTCTCGGCTGTATTTTTAACATTTTGAAACTCGCTCTTCTTCTTCTTGGCTGAGGAATTGCCACTGATGGAGTTCCACTCGCTTGTGCCTCAGCTACCGCTCGTCGGGCACGACAAGCAAATGAAGATGAATTGGCGCAATTTTGTTTCTGCTCCGTCTTTTCAACAGTTCTCTCGCCCCGGTACCAGTTTCCATCTTTAGCATGTGTAGCTGAAACTCAACCACTGTTTCGTTCTAGCTGATCGTGTTCCAGTTGCAGACGTTTCTTGGAGATTGGAAAAGTACTAAAAATTGGTCATAGGAAAACCCGGAACGGACCTCATTCTTTTTTCTCGTTGAGTATTTCTTAGTCGCATGTTGTTTTTTGGTGAACTAATTGTAAGCATCTTTTTGTTCCTTAAGGCCTTAAACCTTAATTAGTGCTTGATATTCGGATTGATATCCTGATAAGGGATACGTGCAGATGACTGTAACAAACAGTTGTTCATTTTTGCTTCAAAAATCTGAGTTTTGAAACTTTAAGAACTGGAGCTTCTTCTCCTTCCCAGATATACGAACCCACATCTGAATCCATTGGGTAAAACTTGCCCATGGGTGGCTTCACTTGATATTCTGGCTTTCGTTCGCTTATACTGGAACCTTGCATGACCAGTGGCTTACGGGCAATTGCACGGCCCATTGCATGCAAGTCATTGTTTCGTATACCAAGCTAAAATTATTATTATTATTATTATTATTATTATTATTATTATTATTATTATTATTATTATTATTATTATTATTATTATTATTATTATTATTATTATTATTATTATTATTATTATTATTATTATTATTATTATTATTATTATTATTATTATTATTATTATTATTATTATTATTAGTTTTTGATTAATATTATTATTCGTATGAGCTTTCGCAGGTTATACTGCGCGGTTATTTTCTTTTCTTCAAAATAGAGGATTCATAGGAGAGCTTAATCTTTGCTTCGCACACGCCCTTAGGTGGACGGTGAACATTTAAAATATCCTCCCTTCGCGGTTATAAGTGTGAATTCGTAGTTTTCAAGATATTTGTTTTAATTCTGCTTTTATACAATCATAAATGATCACCAGCTATAAAGGATAAAGGATAAAGCATTTGCCGTTGATCAATCCCTTTTTGGGATGCGGTACGCATTCTACTTCCACTTGTACATTCGTAGTGGCGTAGTGTTTTTATCCTCCCAGACAAGTCTGGTACCAATTAACCGACCCCGGAGGGATGGAAGGCTTGGTTGGCCCGGGCGACTCACGACCCAGGATTTGATCCCGGACCGCTCGCGTGGTGAGCGCGCCACTTGTCACTACACCACTTCCGCCCATCAGTATTAATTTTATCCCCTCTTCTTCCTTTGTCCTTTGTCAAAGCTGTAATTCATAAAAAGCTCAAATGTCTTCTATTTTTCCATTGCACCATTGGTTAACTTCTAGACACTTCTGATTTCTGAAGTATATAATTACTTGTGGTTGATACTACGTAGTTTTTCCGAATATTCACCGCATATGATCCTCGCAGAGGGCGAAACTACTATGGTGGCTAGTGGCCCTGCTTTTCACGCGTGTGGTCCTGGGATCAAATTCTGGGTCGTGCGCTATTCAAGCATACCAAGCCTTCATTCTCCCAGAGTATAACAATTTTGGGTGCCAGGACTGTTTGTTGAGCATAAAAGGCACTGCTTAAAACATGGGACCGCCGTTGTATGAGCACCTTCGTACCATTTTTTTGATATTTTTTCAAAAATGAATCACCATTAATCTTTCAACAATTTTATCTGTGATGACACTTAAGGTTTCTCAGTCATGAGAATGAGTGCAAACAGTTTAGGAACATTCAGAAATGTCTAATAAATCTTATAAGACTGCTCTTCCGTGCGAAATAGTGCGCCACATGTGGCGCACGCGGTACGCAATGTGTTAACATGGGTCAGCACCCGGAAGCCATTGTATAAGCCAAATCGCATTGAAAATGCACCACTTCTCCGAATGAAACTAGAATGCATGGCGCATCTCAAGAAGAATTGTTCAACGCCATGCCCTTACCCATTTATCCTTCTATGATCCTCCCAAATCGAAATGCGCCATGTATTTGTGTTCAATTTGAGTTGTGAGGATCATAGGAGGATAACAAAAAGAGCAAAATTCGCAGGAACTTTCTTGGTGAGGGAGGCAAAACGTATACATACTTATTCAACACAGTTAACGGCAGAAATGTTATCAAGTCTTTGGAATCACAGTGAATTTCAGCGAATGACCTCACGAGGCCAGAACATCTCGTCACCTTCTTTACACCATTAAAAACTACGTGGATATTCAAATCAGTGCTTAAGTGACCGAACAAAGCCAAGGACATCTACGTTTTTGAGTTAATTGCACAGCGTCGTGGATAGTCATGGAAAGTCGGAGATTCTCCACTTGAAGTGTCTTTCTTACTCTTTACCATCCCCCTTCACTCAGTGGATCTTGTGGGTGGGAGATATGTGGTTCCACCGGAAACACCTCGTCACAACCAATACAGAGTCTGGCGCGATAAATCCTTCTATGTTATTAGGCAGGTCCATCGAGATTGCCGTCCCGGATAGTGGCCTCATCTCACTGACCCGGATACATAGGCTGACTTGCTGGACTCGAAAAGCTTATCATACGCATGTCATCTACACATTCGGACATAGTTAGATAGACATCTGCGTACGCCCGGACGCTACACTGGTGCGCAACATGAGCGTCGTCGTCGTGATCCCGGCGACATTCCACACCAATTTCGACTTCTTCGAACGCTCACTTGTTCCTTTCGTTGAGCGCGTCCGAAGTCACACGCTCGGACTCCTTCTGTTATTCACTTCAAGAATCCGTTTACAATGCCCACGTATATTGCGATAGCGCCTTAGAATCATCTCTGCTTTTTCCTCTTCATTTGAAAAGCTGAGTAGTGATTCCTTACTCTTTCTTAACAGATCCTCTTTATTACTGTTCACTTCTAGGCTTTTTTTGGGCGTAAGATTAGCTGATGGCCTAACCAGTCGACCAGATGTTCCTGTTCAGAAGCCTGAATGAGGTCCATGGTCCATGGCTCGAGAAGGCCTGTTGCTGAGACGCCATTGCCTTCCGTTCAGGGTTTGAATAGACCACTTCAGGCTTCAACCTACTACTTCTTTAACTATCTCCGCTCTCTTCTTCATCTGGAATGTGAGCCGCTGAGACCACTGGAGGCCTCTCTTTTACAACACTAGACTGCTGACGCTATCGCAATTAGGAATGTGTAGT